CCCCCCCCCCCCCCCCCCCCCCCCCCCCCCCCGGTCCCCGAAACGATGTTGATGTGACGTCAGGTTTGGTCCCACCACAACCTTCGAATCGCCTACATGGCCCAGCACAGCCTGCACCACGTGGAGCAGCACCTCGAGAAGTCGCCGGTGCAGTACATGCAGTGGCGTTTCGGCACCGGGGACGGAACCGACAGGTTGGTGTCAGTCTTACGTTTTTTTTTGTGCAGGTAATCTCGCCCGCGCGTGATAATCCACAGCACCAAGAGTGGTGGTGCGAAAAGTCAAAAGGTACGGGGTCGGAGCCTCCTCGTTTAGAGCTTTTCCGAAAACGCATGGTCGGACTTTACGTCCTCTTCGTCGGGGAGTGCTCGCGGATCGAAAATTGGTCCAGGGGGTGTGGTATATTAACGGCACCTACGGTACATGGCCGGAATACGAGGTGGCGCGACGGACCCGTCTTTTTCGCCAGAAGGCGCACGCGATCTTTTTTCTTGCAAAAAACAACAAATTTCATCTTTTCTACAGATGAGAGTCCGGGATTTAGATCAGCAATGAATGCACAGCGTTGTGTATGATGACCAACGTAGTTCCGCGAGCAGCATTCAGCGGTGTCTCCCCTGCTTGTAACAGGCAGCATACTTGGCAGCATGAAGCTTCCTTTAATGTTGTTCGTTCATGTCTGATCTATCTCCTTGCTTATCTGTTGACCTTCCTTGCGCAGGGAGGTGGCCGAGAAGAACATCTTGATGAAGATGACCGATGAGGAACAGGAGCGGCAGTCCAGCACCGGCCAGGTGGAGGACATCCTGGGGCGGCGGCTGGAGGGCCGAGTCCTGAAGTACGAGTGCTCGTTCGTGGGCATGGGGCCCAAGCACAACCGGTGAGAGGCGTGTGCAGATGTACGGATCGTTTCGTCGCTCGCGAATAGATGGCCGAATCGCGGGAGTCCCATCTACCCTCTAGCCTACTCCTCTCCTCAATGAACGCCCTGCACCCCCGGCTTAGCTTTTCTGAATCCGATGAAAGCTCTGGCTCTGAACCAACCCTCTGACCTAGCCCTCTCCTCAATGAATGCCCTGCACCCCCGGCTTAGCTTTTCTGAATCCGATGAAAGCTCTGTCTGTGCACCTACCCTCTGACCTGACCCCACCCTCATTATCCACCCTCCTGCTGGCCGTTGTGATGATTGCAGGTACATCTCTCGCGAAGAGCTGGAGAGACGCGGCCTCTCCAAGCTTGTCCAACAGGCGGATGCCAGAATGGCCGCTCTCGCCGCTGGCACGGACAACAGGCCGGTGACTACAAAGGAGATCCAGGCCCACCTCGACGACTTCGCCCTCGCGAAAGAGTTCAGCGTCTACGGGAAGATCGGAGGGCTGTCGGGGGGACAGAAGGTGCGCGCGTGTGTGGCACACGAAAGGGAGCGGCGGACATGGGGGAGATGCTGTTTTGACGGCACCAAAAGTGGGCATTGCGTGTCACGGGCCGCGTGATTTCGCAGGCCTCCTTGAATCCCTGGTGGTGATGAGAACGCCGTAACGCGTTGCCTTCCATTCGTCGTTACACCGTTGTCCCGTGAAACGAAACGATAACGAGCGCCCCCTTTGCACCGGACACCCCGCCTCCCCTCGAGACTTCCCCCCACCCCTCGCATTACTTCGTCCTATCGAAGCCGCCGATTAATGTTCTGAAAACTAAGACTGCACACAATAACCCCGGACCTCGAGGACGCGTGTTAAATGATCCATCGTCGACATGCGTTTACATGAGTACCCCCCCCCCCCCCTCCCAACGGAACCCGCGGACTCCCCTCGCGATTGATTAGGTGAAGCTAGTGCTGGCAGCGGCGATGTGGATGCGGCCCCACCTCCTCGTGCTCGACGAGCCGACCAACTACCTCGACAGGGAGGCGCTGGGGGCGCTGACCCAGGGCATCAAGGAGTTCGGCGGGGGCGTGATCATCATCTCCCACAACTCTGAGTTCATCAACGCCATCACGACGGAGACTTGGCTGCTTGAGGAGGGTAGGCTGCAGACCATGGGGGCGGCACAGGAGGTGAGGACGGGGGAGGGGTGCGCATGCAAGCACATGCCGTGGTTGTTAGACCATTGGCCACGAGTTCTCTTGGCGAGGACGGAGCGTTGTTCCCATAGGACGGATCACCGATGGTTCCTTCCTACTTTGCCAAGGAGGGATGGAGGACCTCATGTGAACGCATATACCGCAGTCGTTGTAGACCATCGCTTGCAATGCAGGGGCGGAGCGGTATGCCGGGTTTTCGCCGCCCCAGGCAACGTTTCCAGTAGCCTTGGCAGACTTTTTTGGTATTCAGGAAGAAACATGCTGGATAAAGCATGCAGTCGGGGAAGTTGGGTGTGGGATAGGGTAAGGGAATAGGGTCTGCGTACCCCCCCTCTGTTCTATTTCCTTATAATACTGAATTTCCCGAAGGCCGTCCAACGTTTCACAATGAACCAGAGACTATTATTGTCATCATCCTTGCCGACGTTTGTTGTGCCAAACCAGACATCCCTTGGACTGAGGGGGGTAAGAAAGGGCGAGGGTAGCGCACAGACGCGTGGACGGCGGTGTAGCATGCCTGTCCTGTGAGCTGTGCCCCACTTGATGCTTGTTGCCAAGGAGAGATGGGGTACGTCGCGATTCAGATGTCGGGTCGTGTTCATTCCATCGTGTCTTTTTGGCGTTGTTTCCCGACGTTCCGCCGTGCAGTCCGAGTTGAAGACTTCCAAGAACAAGTCTAAGAAGGCGATGGAGGCAGAAGCGAAGGCGGAGGAGGAGGCGGCCACCAAAGCCGGCGGCTGCTCCAACAAGACGGTCAAGTTCGACAACCTCATCAACCCGAAGACGCTCAAGGCGTTCGACAAGAAGAACGTGAGATTTGGGTGGTACTGCTGTGTATAGTTAAGAGTGTTGCTGTTTGATTGTAATGGTCGAGGCGTTTCAGAAGAAAAACGTGCCATGTGTGGTACTGTACACGGTTAAGATTGTCGCTGTTGATAGGCATATGCATGTTGATGGTCAAGGCGGCTGATAAGAAAATCTTGAGATGTGGTACATGGTTAAGATTGTTGGTGTTGATGTTGGGTCTCTAGGCGATGTTCGTTGTTGTCCCAGGTTGTTGTTGGTTGATGGTGGGGCTACGGGCGATGTTGGTCGTCGCTGTCCCAGAAGCTTATTTTCACGGCCGAGCATTGCCTGGACTCACTCCCAAGTAGCAAGCCAAGCAGGGCAGGCCGGGAAAAGCAATGACAGTCTGGCGGGGGCTCTATACAGCAGGGGCATGAACACATGGCATGGCAACGCTCGCACGGGGGCGGTTTGTCTGAAATGAGACGCACAAAAATATTCCACGGCTACTCGGCGCATGAAAAGCAACCGAAGCACGATCACGGTTACGTTAGGGTCGTGGTAGTCTGGCAGACTGACTCACGAAGGGCAGCAATCACGATCGCGGTAGCCTTGTACAATAGTGTAGTCCAGTTGTGCTGATGACGCACTCAACCTCCTTGAACGTATTGGCCCTCACCCCCCCCCCTTGTCTCTCGCGTGCCAGCTGAAAAAACAATGTACCTCCTGCCTCGTTCAACGACACTGACCCCCTGACCCCCCCCCCCCTCCGTCTTGTACCAGCTGCGAAAACTCGGAAAGATCGCGGACAAGGCTGGCATCCCGCTACCCGAGTACGTCAAGGGGCTTAACCACAAGAGCCCGGAGTGGAAGTGGTTGGGGAACTACGCGTGATTGGCCAGTCAGTTTAGTTGTTATTGTTGTGCGGACATTCATTCGTGTATGTGGCAAAATGAGGCTTGTGCGTTTGCGGAGTCCATGACGCCGTGGGAGACGCGCCCTTAAAGTGGTTCTTGGGTGTGTGCCCCCTGCAAGGCCGATTCGGGGGTGGTGCTCGCGTTTTGCGTCAAGAGACTTGTGCGTTGTTTCCCTCGCTGCGCGGGTCTTTGCCGGAAGAGACTGAGGCGGAGGAGGGGAGGGCCATCACCTGACTCACGAAGGGATACGGGAACAGCACGTCATATGAAATAAGCTTCCTGAAGCCGTCGGTCGGGTCTACGACCCCCCACGGGATATTGTGCCTTGACGGGATTTTGGTGTGTGTGTGCTTATCGTGTGAGGTTTTGTGTGTGTTTTCTCCGAGTGGCTTTTGTCGAGTCGCCCTTTGGCTGCCAGCTACGCCACGGGGCGCCATGTCGGCCTGTGTGCGTGGTAGTGGTGACGCCCCACACGTGCCCTGTACCGTAGAGGGTGTTAAGTTGCCAAAATGTCGCGGTTTTTTCATTTTTGTGTGGGTGGGTTGAACTTTTATTAGTCCCGTGTCTTTTTTCATGTGGTGTGACAATGAAGGGACGAGAGCGTGCGGGGGGGACATGGCAGTCGATCCGGTGCGTGGTTCCGACTTTCCTCCCTTGCCTGTTGGGGTTGTGCTGGTATGTATGCATATGATGTACCTGTGGGAAGTATCCCGAGTTTTCGGACGTTGCTGCTGAGTAAAGAGTACGGCAACACTCGCTGTGATCGGCGTGTTTCAAATTTTGCTGGGTGGGTTGTGCTGTGGTCAGGGTTATGAAGGGAAGAGGGGGGGGGGGGGGGGTTCGGAACAGGCGTGGAGGGTTGTCCACCATTGCCTTGGCTTTGGTGGCGACGTTTGCCATCATGAAGAAGTCACTGGCATTGTTCGATCAAAAAGGTAGTTTATTTTGTCAATTTTTGTCCAGCAGAAAATATATTTCTCAATTTTTTTAGTCATGTGTTTGGCTTTCAGTCGCTGTCTCACTGTCACGCTGGCGTACACGGTGCTTGGATGTAGCAGACACCAGAATAGGCTACTGGATCGACATCCGACAATGGGTCGACGGCAGCATGGACTACTGTCGGCTCCGCCGTTTGCATCGTTGTGAAGTATGTCAGGTCTGTTTGGAAGGGATGTTATTGATGACGCCAGTTAGTTGTGGTGCCCAGGTGTCCAGGCGCAATTCGGCTCGGTATCAAGTGTCAGGGCGTGCTTCGAGAACCGATCACGTTTTCGAGATAGCCGCGTGCAGTCCATCGTGCATCGTACGTCTCTCATCCATAACGTACGTCCGCAACAGAGGCAAGACATCCGGGGGAGGATGGGGGCATTTTTGAGTCTTGAACCATGCAACTCATTTGTATCTGTTGTCGTGATGTGTTTTTGTTGTGTTGGGTCCCACAAGGACTCCCGCAAGGAATGCTGTGGAGGCAGTCGCCAGCCCACTCACCTTCTGGCGGATTTTTCTGAGGTCGTCCCGTTACGCTTGCCTAGTTTGTTGCGCATTACAAATGTACGTTGGGTGTTTGGTCTTCTTGCGTTCCAGCACGACGGTCTGCATTGATGAAGCGAAGACATACATTTTTTTGGAATTTTCCTTCTTTTTGTGAACCGAGCATTTGCGGTCTGAGCAATTCTGGAAGTTTCCTACTAGTAGATTACTTTCCGACCGTACGTAGGGCCTGCCTCCAATTAGCGAAAATATTCTTCAAACTGTGGACGCCCCCACTTTTGGAGCGGGGATGCATTGCCTCTTTTGGCCATTTTCTTTTTCACAGGGCACCACGAAATACTTCGCATGAGATCGATTCACGGTTCGATATCTCACTTTCACTCTTCATCTCCCCCCTTCTTCCCTCCGCCCTGGGTAGTATCCACCAACGATACGGCTCAAAGGTCTAATCTGATCCAAAAGCTTCACGTTCTCAGCGTGTCTCTTCTGGTTTCCCGGAAGTACCGACAGCTAGCAGTTTCCCAGTCTAACGGGAGCCATAATTGACTGTTGAAAGCGAACTGAACATCCTCCTGAAAACGCCCCCTGGGCATTAAGGATCTAAACACGGAGCGCTAGAACACGGAGTGGCCAGCGCGGACCGTAGCTATCTGCGGTAAGAAAATGTCATAGGAAGCGCATCACACCACGAAACACACCAACTTCCACGGCTGCCAGCCGAAGCAGCGCCTGTACTACTCCCTGCCCCGGCGTCCAGCCAGTGACTTTGTCGATGTGGCCGGCGCTACCTCCACCAGTCCAACCGAGCTGCACCGATGATGATTCAAGCACTAGTGAAGTGAAAATAGTGGCAGTGTTGTAACTCCCTTTAGACGAAAGGACACTGTTGCTGAAGTTTCCGTGTGACCACGGACCGGTGGCGTCGTTGCTTTTGTCGACTTCGTTGCCGTGAGGGAGATCGCTCGATGAGCTCCCATTTCCCTGCCGAGTCCCTTCCTGGTGGATGGCAAGATACACACGGCGGCCCGTGTCTGCGTCCACACCTGTCGTCGCCAAAATCCTTGGTGTGGTCATCCTAGATTCGCTCTTCTTGTTGCCACGCACGAATGCGTAGTAAGCCTTGGAAGCTCTGGAAGTAGTGCCGGGCACCACGGCCATCGCCATCGCTTGCCTCCTAGCCAGCACGACCAACCAGCCCCGACGACGCCAAGTGCGATCCTTCCTCGCCTTCGACAGCGCCAGGCGGATGCGGGTCGCCAATTCTTCGTTATTTAGCCGGCCGATTTCATTCACAGCTCCTAGGAGAATGGGAGGGCTCTGGGGTCCCGCGTGGCGGGGGGGGTCGCCAAGACCAATCGCAGAGCCGGCATCGGCACCCTCGTTATCCGCAGAGTCGGGGTCGGCTCCCGCTAACAGCAAGCACTCGACGATGTCAACGTTGTTGAAGCGGCAAGCCCAGTGGAGGGGGGTCAAGCCCGCTGGAGACCTAGAGTTAACGTCGGCTCCCGTACTCAGCAATACGCGCAGCATGAGAGTGAAGGAGAGCTTGGACGCCCATGCGAGCGGCGTGATGCCGTGGTAACTATCGCGGACTTCGAGGGAGGACGCCGAAGCGTCTAGGAGTAGCCTCGTGACACCAATCCTGTTGTAGACGACGGCGAGATGTAGCGGCGTATAACTGTCATCCGTGCGTGCGTGCGTATTGGCTCCGGCACAGAGCAGTTCGGCAGCCTCAGCCTCGCATCCCTTAACGGCAACCATATGCAACGGGGTAACGGCAAGGTTGTCGGCGACGTTTGGATTGGCGCCAGCAGCGAGTAGGATCTTGAGAATCTGAAAGTGCCCAAAGTACACCGCCCGGTGCAACGGAGTGCGTCTCCTGTGGCTGTCCTGCCAATCCAGGAACGCCCCGCCTTGGACCAGACCGTACACGGTAGCCACGTCCTGGCTGACCATGTTGACGTAATCATAGACCAGCTTGCCTCCTCTGTCACCGCCTAGGAGCCGACGGGTGGCTTCCCGTGAGGACTCGTGCCCCACTCTGGCGGATATCTCGGCTGCGGTTACACGGGTCTCGTCGTGCTGACCCTTGCAGAAGCCAGCACTCAGCAGGGCTGTGATAACTCCAACGTGACCACCCTTAGCGGCATAGTGAAGGGCGGTACTCCTCAATTCGGCGTGGCAACGCCCTTCTTCGCAGTTGTGACGGTTGGGCGCACCAGCGCCGGCATACAGCAGACAGCGAATGACGTGCTCGTGCCCCCCCAAGGCCGCGAGCATGAGTGGTGTGGCCTTGAAGTGGTCGCGAGAGTCGACCAAGGCTCCGGCATCCATGAGCACTAAGACAATGTCGACGTGCCCTTGCCCGGCAGCCCAGTGAAGAGGAGTTTTGCCGAAGCGATCTTTTGCGTCACAGGCGATACGCCCTTCCGCAAGCAAGGCTTGGACGGTGAAAGTGAGGCCCTGCGAGGCGGCGCAGTGAATCATCTCGCCTGCTTCTCCGATTGGAGTGCTGTTCATCGACTTATCCGTCACGGTAGAGTAACCGTCAATCTCTGATCGTGGCAACATCATCAGCGCAACTAGCCGCTGATGGCGAATTACCCATCGGCGCGGATCACATTTGTCGAAGTCAGGAGTAGTCGTTCCTGATGTTCTCGCCATGCTCGTGTGCCGACTGGAAATCAGACGATAAACGGAGATTAATCCAAGTCTGTGCAAGAGGCACGAGGGCGGAGGGAGAAACGAATAATAAGAATGAATATTGAAGCATGCGTGGTGCGTGGTTGAAGGCGGCGGGATGCGGGATGTTTATTACCAGAGAGAGAGAGAGAGAGCAATAAGACTTCTGCTTCTGGAGTCCAGAAGACCTAGGGGTTCCAAGGGCGGAGGGATGTTTGCCTGAAGGGAATCCTCTGTGGTGGCCCCTCCCTGCGAAGGGGGTTTGAAGGGGTAGTAGTCTAGTAGGGCAGGCGCTTATGCAAAATGTGCGTCGTTTTTCTATCACCAGCGCGAAGTGCTGAGTTAAATACGCATTTATTTAGACTAGACTTTGGACAGCAGCGCATGCGGTTCGTCGGAGACAGACCACCACCAAGAGAAAAAATGCGCGGCTTCTCGATTACAGTACGTATGTATTTTCTGCTGTATGTAGGTGGTCTGGACGGCACGTCAGCGCACCGATAAATGCAATACGTACATAGTCCTCCGCATTGTCTGCCTGTTCTATGCATACGCAGTAGGGAAGAACCAGCGTATCTTCCTGCTCGGCCTACCTGCCTGGCGGTTGGCGACCTGCCGATGGGCGTGCGCCTTGTATCTGCTGCAGCAGCACTGATTTGCGCGGTTCCGAGAAGGGGAGATGTGACTTCAATGTGTAGACCTTCGGTGAGATTGCCTCAGTTTGTCCCTCAATCTTATAGGTTGCGCGCCACACGCACGCACGTTCTGTGGACTGCAGGCGAGTGAGTGCTGGTGGCTATCGATGACAAGAAACTTGAGTCCTTCACCACACTGAAAATTGTCCTGTTGTGTCGTTTTTTTTCCCTCCCCCCGCCCCCTGTGACCCGCAATAATAATATTATTCCGTTACCGGCTCTATATATCAAACACTCTCCCGCATATCCATTATTTAGGCTTGGCCAATCGCATCGCGAAAATCTGGGGTGCGTGCATGCTCTAGATAATAGGAAATATGCGTACACCCAGAGGGCACATGATATCTACCTGAGGACCGCTCCACCCCAACAACATGAATTGCAGAAAATAGCGATGGGCAGCAACGTGAAAAACAAACAGCCACGAGAGGGTAGAGCATCGGATATGGATCACAGTCTACAGTACTACGCTACCAAGCAGCTGTGATATGATTCCCCGCAGGGATTGTTAGGAGAGGGCCGTCATGATTATCACCTTCGGGCGTGGCAGCACGCAGTAATACTGTAGTAACCCCTAGCAAGGAATCCTCGTCTGCAGGAAGGAAGGGTGGTTGACACACGCCTGGCATGGTCACCTGTGACATCCCGAAGCATGTTGGGCTCTTTGTAGCGTATTCGACCGGTGTCCCAGAGGACTTCGCCACTGGCATGGTCGCGCGAAGAGGCAGGATTGGTTCTAGATGGACGCAGAAAGCCAGGTCCTCTTGTACAGGAGCTTGCAACAACAAAATGTGGTGGACCCACGATTCGCCTAACTAATTGGTCGGCGGGATGACACGTTGAACATGGACTGAGCACATAACGGACAACCCCACCATGAGTTGCATGAGACAACAACTTATTGATCAAGACCAAAGAAAACTGGAGTCATGTTTCACGGCGCGGCCTGTTCTTATCACGACAAAAAAAAGTCTCGTTTAGTCCTCGGTTCAATGTTTGGGAGTGTGTCGCTTCTTTCAATATATCACATTTGCTCTCGTTGTTGTTGCTGTTGAAGTTTTTTTTTTTTGTCTTCACTTCTAATCAGCGCTCACAGCACTAGTGCCGTTTACTCCAACCCGTGGTCACACAGAAGAGCCCCTCTCTACCTTCCCCTCCTGCGGTACTTTGCCTTCGATTTTTCATGCGAGAAGAGTTCAGCACTCTCTTCCCTCTGTGTACACACGAACGCTATCCACTGGGCCAGAAGCGGAAGCGAGAGAAAAACTTACTTTGCAAGGAAAGCTCGCTTACGCCGGGATTCGAACCCCTGACCTGACCTCTAGGAGGTTTCGAGAATACCAACTAGACCACCGGGGCCACCGGCTTCCCTCACATTGAAAACCCGTTTTTCATGCCTTCTCTTCCCTACAGCACTCTTTACACAGGAAAACGAACTTCCGTGACTTCAAGCTTACCCAAGACTTCGGTACAACTATCGTTACCATCTACACTGCTGTGAACTCTTTCCTACGAAATATGTTGTCCAGCTCTACATTATCGAGCTTCTGCGCCGTAGTCACACGGCGTATTACTATATCCTCGTGGTATTAATTTCCACCTGTCGCGAGGAAAAACAAGTGTAGCAATAGTTCTCGGATGCTCTCGCGTCACTTATCGAAGGCGGCCAAGGACACGGCGGGGGGTGAGAAGCTCGCGGCCATGGTCTCGCCGTTAAGCAGCACCTGCGCCGGGTCGGCTTGAATGCCGGGGTACGAAACCGTCGGCACAGCAACAGCGCCGGCGTTCGGCGGCGCACCCACACCAGAAGAAATCCGTTCTGTTCCTCCGCCCGGTCTTCGAGTCTGGCCATCATCGGAGGCGGCAGCCGCCGTCGCCGCGCGGCTCTGCCCGCTGTCTGGACGTGTTCCAATGCCGCCGTCTTTCTTAAGGCCATCCGTACTCACTGCCGTTGTTTCGTTGGCGCCACGAGGAGGAAGAGGAGCAGCCCCCGCTCGGGCAAGACTTTTCGTCGAGTTAGCACTCTGGTCTGCGACAACACTGTCATCGTACGTTGAGCCACCGCCGTTCATACCGGTGGCGCCCCGCCCGTTGGTGTCGACGACAGTAGAAGGTGCCTCGATGGCGTTCATTGGCCGATCATGCGACAGTCCCGCCGTCTTTATTTGGGAAGACGAGGCCGGCGGCCGCGTGCCGAGGCAGATGGTCCTGAAGTCCGGGTTTCTCACCACCAGCGTATCTTTGCTCTGGATTTTCTCACACGCCTCTGCCGAGATCTGTCGATGGAGACGTGGAGGAGTTATTGACGCAAAAAAATCAGAAAATAACGTGATCTTGAACGGGGAGACACGAAAGAAGCGGGGAACGGTAGGACCCCAAGGTATCCTCTGTCCGCGGGAATGCGACGGAGAAAACGGACGACGGCTGCGTCGGGCAAGCATACGAACAAATCTGCGCGGTTAAAAGCTTCATCGCGATGAGCCCTTCGTGGTCGTGGAAATTTCGTGAAGGTCCTCGAACTCTTTTGACAGGCCGGGCGCACGTTTGGTTGCGCAAGGACAACGGGGAAGGCGCTCGCACACCTCGGCCAGGCGCTCCGAAGCATCAAAAACGCGAATCGCCTCCGTAATGAAGGAGCGGGGTGCGCTTGCTCACCGAGTACAGGGACAAGACGGCGCACTCCCCGCTGCGGTCCACCACGACCAAGCGCTCCGGCGGCTGTGAGCTCTGCCCCGCGGGCATGACGACCTGCGGTCGGGAAAAAAGAACACGTTGTAGCATTCGAGGTCGGGATTGAACTCGGACACAACGGGGGGAAGGGGCCGCAGGATGGGTCCGTTTCGAAGAAGCTCGTTCGGCACGGCAAAGCTGCGGCACGAGCAGGCGTTGTGGACAGATCGGTTTCGCTGTACGCTGCCCACTAAGGTGCAGAGATTGTTGCGGGACAGGGCGGTGGTTATCCGACAAACATCCAATTGAGTGCGAGGTTATGACTATCTAGCCGCGTCGATTCTAAAGAAAAAAACACTCCAGCTCAGGTACGATACAGAAGGCAGGCAGTCTTAAAACGATTAAGGATAGAGGGGGCACAGGATTTATGAGTTTAACGGGCTCACCTCTTGGTGGTACAAGTACTGGCCACTCATTTTGGCGTGTTGCGCTCCATCGTTTAGGTGCGAATTTCACCTCTGAGTTATCAGGCTCTAATTTGAAATTACGCATACGGTATCTGTTTTCCCTGCTTTGGTTGAACTCACGGACGTTGGAACATTCATCATTACAAAATGGAAATCGTTGAGGTGAGAGTTTTCAGGATTACCATCACGTACTAGGCGTATACCGTGTAGCGACGGATGTATTCTGCTACCGATTGAAAACGTACCTAACTTAGGAGCCGTATGCGTTCGCCCCATTTATGCTGTCCCCAATCGAATAACAACAACAACAACAACTACAACAACTGCTGCAACAGTTTCGCGGGAAGTTTATTAAAGAAAATCACCTTCAGCGCAACCGCCACACCCATATTCCTCCCCAAGCGTAGCTCTCTCAGGCCCACCAAGTGATAGGTGCCCCCAAGACCACGTCGGAGCGACTCCCCCCGAAGCGGCGCAATCAGCTGCGATAAGCGTTTCGTCTTGAGGCCTCCCTGGAGCAAGCGGTGGTGGACGACACACAAACAGCAAGCTCAAGGTGCCAAGGAATCAGGCATCAAGAAAAGAGAAAAGCGCCAAAAAAGACTTCTCTTCGGTCGTCTCTCGATTGAACAACACAGGGGTACGAAACCCGAACGGTACGGGTGGAGAAGACTCTCATTGTGCCGAGAGTGCCAATAGAATCACTGACAAGCTGGTTTACTTGTAAACGTGTCACCTGAATCCTCATCAGAAAAACGAATGATCGTGCTACGCGGTGTTACCTGAATCTTCGCCAGAAAAACGTGTGATCGTGCTACGCGGTGTTGTTAGAAACGAAAACGGAACAAGAAGGTTATCTGTTTTTTTTCTCACCTTTTTCTCGACCAGCTTTGACAGCCGGTCAACCCCAGTCTCAATGGAGTGCAGCGCCTGATTCACCGGAAGCATTGGGTCGAGCTCTCGTGCAAGCCTCGAAAAACACGGTGCGAACAGTTTCGTGGCGAAAACGCGAAAAAGTAAGAAACACGCTACTGTTGCAGACGGTTCAATAAGCGTGGGGCTAGTAATTCTGGTGCCACTACACTGTACTTTCATCTTTCTTCAGCAAAAGCAACAAAGAACTGCACCAGTTGGGCATAATAGCCGAAGCTACGGGAGACGGCACTCAACCTGGACAGGGAACTACCGTATACGACATTAGATGAAACACACCCTGGGCCGATTTTCAAGGCTCGATGTATCAACCGCAGAAAGAGGCGTAGCGCCGAATCCGGCCGTCTTGATGTCGTCTGGTCGAGAGCTCTCCGAAAACGTATCGTTTCGTTTAAGCATCCTCTTCGTCGTGGAGTAATCGAGCGTTGAAAAATCGGTCCAGGGGGTGTGATGTCTTGTGTCGTATGCTGTAGGTGGGAGGTGGGTGTTGTGCCGTAAATCGAAAGAAAAGCCATGATGAAACATGGGCGATGAAAAATGACGGGCGATTGATCGGAGTGGGAGCGATCGCGCGACCCACTCGGCTCTCATGTACAACGCTGCAAAACGAGACCGCGATCAAAGATGGGCCTGAACAAAGCACAAGACACGGCTGGCACGCTCCCAGTGGCCATTACTTCGGGTGCGCAACGTATATGAAGTGATACTTTGTGCGGATGAAGCAATTATTATCACAAAACACACACCGCGACGCGCGCCCAGAGGAGGCCGGGAGGCTGGCAAAACTGTTCATGGTTTCTGGGTTATCAACAAGGGTGACGGGCCCAGAGAACGACGAACGTTTTGCCAGGGGGGGCAAACGTTATTGCCGTGTTCAATGAGCTTACACGCAGGAATGCTCGCGCGCATGCTTGGGAAGCCGTCGGTGGTACACTAGAATATGACAACAACCCGAAAAAGAAGGGTACTCTTGTTCGAGAGACAACCAACTCGATCAGGCCGATGTAGAAGCCACCACGACCCATAGCCCGGTCAACCGCCGCCCCCACCGGTACCGTAAAAGGCCCAGAGATGGCAGCCGTCCTAGAGCAACTGTCAAAGCTCCATTGCTCCACAACGTTCGGCATGCGTGAAGAGGCCGAAAATTCCAGGGAAAGTTCTCGACCAGAACTTTCCGAAATCGCCCATCTCTGGTTGTTGGCACAATCTTGGTTACGGAGCGAGCGGGCTTTGAAAATCGGTCTACATAGGGGTGTGTGTGATCTCTCCGCCTCTTTGGGGTATTCCACTATGACTCCGCCGAACCGTTGCTGACATTCACGACCACCAAGACAAAACCACACCTGAAGTCCCGAATAGATTCGGGGTAGTCCTCTCGGTACTGAAACACTTGGGCCCTGTTGAAGAACAGGTCGGGGTTTCCTTTCTCGCCACCGTAGGCCTCCTTTGGCGACAGTTTCGGTACGAAACGGGGGGGGTTTAGGCAAGGCTTTGGTGGTGGTGGCAGGCGGAGCGGTAGATGCACAGAAAGGGGGCAGCGTGACGAAGGACTGGTTTCGTAGGACCGGTGCGCTAAACGTCATCCTCAAAAGGGGCTCCGTGCTGCCGTAGAAAAGCGCCCTTTCGCCCCATCCCCTCTGCCTCCGATCCGTCCAGGCATTGTGGGGATGCAAGGTCTAACGACGACGGCCTGCGTTCACGTGAGTACACCGCCCCCCTGCCTCCGAAGACATAACGGAGCAACACTGCAATGGTCTGCTACATATGGTAGTAGGAAATAGCTGCGCCGACCAGCCGGAAATCGCCCGCCCCCCACACCGGGCGCGAAGCTACACGCCGGAGGCGTTTGGCAAGTTGGTTGATTCTCAGAAGGCGGAAACCGGGGCGATGCTTCACATCCATAAAAATACGTTTTCGGATGACGACATACTCCATCTAAGACGAAGGGGGTGAACCGACTGGTAACATGTGGGCGGGAACGTTGTGAGCTCACGCCTCTCGATTTCACACCGTGTACCCCAACCGCTCTGGTGTCCGCCCGTCCACCTCAAGAAGCTCACACACCACCACAATCTTAGAAACGCGTTCGAGTGCGTATGCGGCATGCTGACGATGACAACGGTATCATTGTCGACTAGAAAACAATTTCGCTGGCAACGGTATCTTGTGCACTCGATGCCAAGTACCAGCTACCGGATGGGGTTGGCTAATCTTTGACGAGGACATGAAAACGTTGATCGCTCGGCCAAACAATCGACTACCATGCGTGGACCATATCATCTTGTGCCGGCAGACACGAAGACTGCCCTTGCTTTCTTAGGCAAGACGCGGTTTGTCCAGACGATGTAACTGATGGTTCTCCGGAAAGAATGGTGGTGGTTCGGTAGTTGAGCAATCAACGTCAGCAAAATCCCCAGATGTGAATGCCGACGGGGCTCAACATGGCGGTGAGACCTCTCGCGTACCGGACCGATTTCCTTTCCTTTCACTTTCTACCCGGCGATACAGCGCGTTGGTCTCGAGACAAGGCGAAACCTAGCATGCAATACAACGAAACGTACGAATAATCTTCCACAAACGCCCGGTAGCCTTGGAAAAACCAACGAAGATGGTGACGACGGAGCGAATCCTCAGGTTGTCCATACACAATTGAAGCCTTGTTACTCGGTAGCCATCTCACCGCCTTCTTGTATGCCTGCAAAGCCCGGTCGAGGTCCTTGATTCCCCTGGAGCTTCCGAAGAAGGAGGCTACGTAGCCGTTACCCAACACGTACCAAGAGTACCCACACTCGACGTCCAGAGTAACTGCCTCCTTCGCTAACCGCAGGCTTTCCTGAACATTATAGAGGGATGAGCAATGAAAATCAGACCAAAAGGTTTGTCGCGAGGAAGTAGTGTTCTTGCTGCTGATCGTGTCAACGCTCGTGCTCCTCAGTAAAAATCAAATCGACCTCCCACCTTTGCGTTCCTCTTCTCCCTGAGTTTTTTGTTCGTGCCCACCCAATCGGCAACGAAACGGCATTAACAGCAACAGGCGAGAAGGTGGTCAAAGACGAAACCTCCAAAATCTAGCTGGACTAGCAGAAGCCTCAAGAGGGGCTCCCTTCCACGCCGAGGGAGAGTCTACAGCGGGGGCGGCGTCAGTGACGCCTGTTGACTACATAACGCTGGTGGCTCTGTATAGCGACGGAAAAGTTACCGGGCACAACTTGAACCACCAAGTAATTCTGAACATTGAAATATCACCGGTTCCTCTGAATAGCACCCACGTACACCGGAGCTATTGAACCCCACCCACCGCACCTCTAATTGGGCGCCCTTCTCTTCCGCCGTGCCCGGCATCTGCCTCAAGAGCATAGACAGCTGCTGCAGTGTGTCTGCCTTCCTTGCCTGGAAAACGGAAAGGGACAGGGCCACTTTTTAGTGTATCCGCCTTGATATGGGGCAAGCCGACATTCGAGGGAAAGAGTTTGTGTCTACCATTTCCACCTAGGTTCATGCCCATGACGACCCTGGGGTTTGGATAGATGACAAGCATCCGCCGGTGTGAGACGCACGGGATTAGCATTGTGGTTGGCATCCTTGGCGACACGGCCAGAGCTAGACGGGGAGGGACGAGGACTGTCTGCGAGGCCTGGTGCCTTGTGTGTGAATCCTTGGGGGAAAATGACACAAATGTTCGCGTGCAATGATGATACAACAATGAGGTCGCTTCCCCCACAAATATATGTAACATCATTTCGATAAGTTGCATATAGTCCATACACCCACCGAAAACGCCACGCTGAAACGTTCCATGCATTTTCGGTCGACAAACGAGAGGGTACACCCTACAGGAAGTGAAAGTCGCACCGTTCCTTGACGAGTACCTGTTCGAGAAAAGCTCATGCTACCGTAGGTGGCACAAGATAACACACGGACCAACTTTCAAAGCTCGATCACTCCAAATCAGAAACAGCGGCGGTGCCGAAAAATGGAAACGTTGGAACCGTCTCGCCGAGAGCTTTCCGAAAATATGTCACACGATTTGTGCATCCTGTCCGTGGAGTATCTGAGCATTGAAAACCACTCCAGGGGGTGTTGTGTGTTGTATCACCTACGTATCCAGCGAGATCATGATTGATCGTCATACCTTTTCGAGAGAGGTAAGGAAGCACCGCTTGGCCGCGAAGAGGTCGGGCTTCTTCCAGTAGCAATGCGCCAGAGCGGTCCAACCGTCGGGTTCAGACGGATGCAGCTTCACCTAAAGAACGTCGAAAACCCACCACAACAATATTGCATGTTCCGCTAACAATGGGCTTGAGACGGAAATCGCAACGGGAGTATATAACCATGGACAAGATGGAACGAATATACTGCGTAGCTATTCTCGCCCAGCACGCGAGACAGCTGTTCCGGTCAACATTATTTCCACCGGATACGGGAGAAGTTCTTCCTCAAACGTTTGTCTTCAGCTTACCGCTTTGGCCAAGCATTTCTCGGCGTTTGGGTTGAATTTGGTGAAAACATCCAACGCCCGGCCCCTGTAGAAGAGGTGTGAAAAGAGGGCGGGGGTCGATATCGTTGTTGGAATTGATGCTGTGGCCCTCAGCACACCACACAGAGAGGCCGAAATTCCGAAATTCACCGGATACGGGTACCCTACGGAATAGGCGTGCCCCGGCTGTAGAAGTTGCACGTGATCGATGTTCTTCTCATCGAAAACGTCGCGGAAACTGAGAGTGCAACCGGCCACACACGTCTAGTAAGTCAAAATCGTACCACAGAGAGTGCAACGAGAAACATGGCGCAGTAAACGAAACGGAAGTTACTATCAACATCAGTCCAGCAAAGTAAAAGCCTTGATTCATGACATCGAAAACAATAATAAAAAAAACGACCAAAAGTTTTGCAATCGAAGAACAGACCACAGGGCACCTAACCCTGCTGCCTGGAAAGGTTTTTCAAGTCGTACCTGCAAAGTAACTTACAGCAGCTGCTGTGTACTACTGAGTGGTCATGGGTACTGTAGATTCATCAACCACCGAACCTCGCATGTAGAGATTTTCCTTTGCATGTGAATAAACGGAATTGACCACCGGGGGTTGAGAGATTAGCACCCCGCCAGCTGATACCACACACCTGATATAGGACACACGAGCCCGCTTGCTCAAGCCGCGGACATTGCCCACTCGTGATAGTGCCTCCGTCACTTCCCGTGCTTGGACCTCCAACCGCATCTGACAAAAAAAAAAAGAACCAAATGAAACTTGTTTGTCCCGAAGAAGGTTGCGATGGTAGCGCCGCCGGCCTGAGCAAAAACTTGGGGCCACAGAACCACACCCCCTCAGTTATCGCCGGTGGTGAGTGAGGCAAGGTCGGGCGATTGAACGATTCCCCTCTCGGGTCTAACAGGACGTTCTTACATGAGTTAAAGCGTTTTCGCCGGATTCAATCCGCTGTGTTTACATTTTCGTACAAAGTAGTATCTTTTTTAGCTGCGCCATACGTAGTACTGCTGTAGCTTTTTAGAAGTTATATTCGTAGATTGAGGTCGCGCTGTGGTCTACTGTAGTTCGCAAGCCGCTCTACAGGCCAGCTAAGTAGTTTGTGTATATACGTCAAGGCACCTCTGAGACAAGTAAGTCCTTCGCAGCGGAACTGGAAGAAACGGATCTTGATGTTGATTTGTGAGCGGTGGGTTCACCTGCTTATCACTGCCAAACCAGGTATCGTGCGTATCGTACAACCTCGCCAGTGCTTCGTCCGCCGCATGGAGCAGTCGATCTTGCTCGTTCTTCTCATACGCATCCTCCAACTTGCTTCCCGCGGCCTCTGTCCTCTTGCTTCGGGCATCGGCGTCGTTGTCAGTCCCTTGTACAGCGGGTGCCGGAGGCAAAGATACCGCAAGTTTTACCGAGGCGGCGCTGCCCACAGCTGTTACCTGTGGTGATAGAGAAGCATCAGGGGTACTGCTACCGACAGCCTCTACCCCATCGCTTCCAGCAGCAGCAATACCAGCATCGGGAAGAGCAGCACGCAACACGGCGGTGCTTGTTGCGCTGCTGGCAGCCTGGCCCTGGTCGGATCCCGAGACTCCCCTCGCCATCTCGGTCTTCTCAGTCATCCCTCAGAGACTCCTTTCCGTCAGCAGCAGAGCAGCATACAGTAGGGCGTAGGGCAAGTCAAGTCTTCACATCCCTTCACCGCACCCACCGGAGCTATTGCTGTATGTGATGCGCACTCCTGCGCACTCCAGCACTCACAAGTGTGCAATGCGGCGCAATCTCGAGTATGCTTCACCAGCACATGGCCCAACAAACGTATGGGCTACAGCATGCAAAAGTGTTTGCTGTCGGTAGGCAGCTCGCCAGCAGTCTTTCGCAAGCCTACAAACATATGGGCTACAGTATTGAAAAATATTTGCTGTCGGTGCCCAGCAGCCAATCACCTCTTGAGGACCGACGGCACACGGGACTGTCGACAGTCTATCCCACCAGCATCCCTTGTATCTCTGCATTCGGTATCAGCCGCTCTGGACCAGGCCACTCGCTGCTGCACACAAGGGGTGTACAGCTTCACAACACCGCACACCAAGAGAGGGATGCGCGACTGCTGCAACACGTCTTGTACCCGGCGAGTTTATTAACCCGTATTTGAATACAGGCCGATTCAGCTCCGTTCTCAGATACGATCACTTTGCGTGCCGAAAGATCGCCGTTGTGTCTCGGCTAAAATAAGAGCAAAACACATACATAGGGACCAGCAGGGAGACACAGGCAGCCCACCCCAAAAGAACGCTTATCAGCAATGCGCACAGGCCTCACATTGTACAACTATACCATTCACCCATGCCTAATCTCTCGGAAGTGGGGCAGGTATCCTTTCCAGATCCAATCTACTGCCTACCGATACTGCTTTAGTCTAAGATTCAAACGCACAGTACCATCGGAGGGTACATACAGCACCCTGAACATGTGGTCTACCCGGTGCCGCATCTGCGGGGGAGAGTAGAGAAAGCGCACACCGGAGCCGATGCTAACGTACTGCCTCGGTGCTTGATGTTGTTGTGATTGCGGTGCGTGTGGTTCCCAGTATTGGGAGTGAAGGGTGGTTCGTCTGCCGTGTGCAAAATTTCGCTCACAGGCAAGGGTTTTCGGGACTACAGCTCCTACCACAGCTCCGATCACATCTCTCTATTTGTAGTACAGAAAAGTAAAATATCACGATTTTTATGCATTTTGTGCGATAGTGGATGATGGTCTCGATTCTCTGATGACAGGGTCGTTTTTTTCGTCGATCTGGCGCTTCTGTGAGGAGGTTTCCCGTCAGCGTCTTCGCATCTAGCGCCGCTAGCATATATATGCGCTTGCCGTATGCTCTGTCCAAGGACAAGGTGGAGAGGATGTGCCAACAGGCATTGCTTGCACAGGTACATCCTCTGTGCGGACGGTTGCTGTCGGAGACAGGCATGCACACCTGCTCAGAACTACTGCTGCTGTACAGTCTATTTCTCTCGGCATGTAGCTGCTACTGCTGTACAGCAGTAGTACTACTGTACTCCTGTTCGTCACCCTTACATATACCGCGTCCCCATCCCTGTGAGCCCCACACATGGACCCACTGCTGCACCATCCTTGCCGCCGTGATTTATGGGTGCTTGGAAGATCTTTGACCGCAGAGAGCCAGTTGTGGGGGAAAAAACGAAAAAATCATATTAACCTGGATCACTGCACCATCATCAGCAGGACTATACTGTACAGCCAGCGGTGTGGGACGAATGCCGCAGGACGCGCGCTGTCTGAGCTATTTTGTGTCCCGGTCCTTGGCGTTGGGAGAGAAACATATCGCCGGCATGGGGGGTCATCCCTGTTCTTTCAAAGGCACACGATCTCTGTCGCTCCGTAACATCCATCCGCTCAAGGCCAAGAAAGGGAATGAATCGTCTTCGTCAACGACGTCAGAGCCACCCGTGTTGACGTTGTCGCCCCTCTGAGAGTCAGAACCGCCGATTGTCTCTACGCAGGGGAAATGCATCGAAGGGCATCAAATGCGTTGATGTCGGCATGGTGTCGTTCGTTCAAGACAGGAAGGTGTCCAGGGAGTTCATCGATGAAACATTCTCTAGGAGATTTCTTTTCACCTGGCAACCTGGTCAGCACGGACAGATAGAGAATAGTGGTGCCGCGATTTCCACATCATGGTACTCACGATATGGCACTCACGACAGAAGAAATTCTGGCCGAGATTGGCCTGGGACTCTGGTCATGTTGTGATGCCTGATTGCCTGACAGGACGGCCATCGTGGATATTATTGGCACCAGCTTGTAGAAGACATGGATGGATGGACGGACGCGGTCATTTTTCTTGATTCCACTGTCTGACAGCAGGTTGGAAGGGGAAGCTGGCCGAAGCAAACGTACCTACCAGGGAGCCGCCGAGCATTTGACCGAGCTAGATATTGCAAAGCTACCTAAGATGTGCCCATATATACTTCGATGAGGTCAATATTTGACCCACAGTGCTTCACTCTGACCAGGCTCGACCTCCACTGAATAGTCTTAGGGTTAGGGTTTGTAGTTCTGTTGAAGTGGACCCTCACTTCACCACCACCACACACCGACCGCCACACACATGTACGGGTAAAAGAACCTACGTTGCACTCTATGGCTTATTTTCAAAAACACTAACTTCCGATAATACACGCTCGCACATTTCATAGGGTTTCTATGAGTGAAGCCACTCACCGCTTCACTACGAACAAGCACAAATAACAACCACACACATCTTCTGTCGGTATGTTTTACCCCAACCCGCATAGCGTTTGACTGCCACACTGCCACACAAAGACTCCGTACCTCCTAAAGTCTTGCTACAAGGAAGCGGATCTGAACACTTCTTACCTAAAACAGCTACTAATCACAACGTTTTCTCCAGCAAAAGGTAGAGCACCGGGTATAGTGCTGCTGCAACACACCCAAGCAAGGAAGAGGGTCGCACTAGAAGCGGAACGGCATGGCTTCCTTCTGCGTGACACTGCCGTCCGCGTGCATCACGTTAATTGTAGTTGAGGCCATCTCGTCGTTGAGTTCGAACCTATCGTCGTCCCCACGAAGGTTCGACCCGCGCTTGTACGGCATCGCATAGTCGTCGGCCTGGTGGAGGTGGACGGGATTGATGGCATAACTGTTTAGCATGGATTCTTCATGCTTCTTGTGCTCAACCGATGCTTGTTCCACATGTTTGAGTCACCAGGGCCGCGGGGCCGCCAACAACATCGTTATTTTTCCCATCAAATGAAATGCCGTTGCGGGCATGGCACATACGCGCAACACCTTACATCTCTCCTCCGAAACCAACAACCGCAACCCTTAAGAAACTTCACAGTAACGCCGGCACAGCACCAAGCCCCATGGTGAAAATGCAAGGTCAAAGTGGTTCTTCACCTCTTCCGTCGTCACGATGTAACCGATGTCTTCCAGGGTGGCACACGAGAGTTTTGACAGTGGCATTCCACTCTGGAAGAGTGGGACGGGAAAAGGGAATCATGGATGGCGGGAACGTGCGCGGAAAAGGGAAGAAGCGAAGGAGATAAGGGTGGCATGGGTGAGGAAGATGAAGCAGGAGGCGTGGGAATTCCCACCCGCGCTATCTGGAGGAATAGCAGTGGGGGTCGGTGGGTGGCAGCGTTCTACAATGAAGCAGTATATTGAACAGAAGCGCCATGGACGGAGCAACCGGTGATTTGTGGCTTCCGGGTAGCAAAAGTCAAAGCAAAACCAGTTTTGAAGCGCTGTGGCCATGCAAACGACACTAGGTGCTACCGACTTGACGCTATACAACTATGAATATCGTTTGGAGTGGGTGAGTGGCGTAAAACACATTAGGTCGCAAAAATTCCTTGAAAGTCGATCATGGCTTCTAGCGATCCCGTGTCCTCCAATGCGTTGTATTGGTGGTCTTCGTCTAGCTCTCAAGAGCATTGTTCGATGGTCATCAGGTTAGGCCGGTCGGTACAGTCACAATACGAGCAGCAGCCTAAATTCGTGTCGACAGCTACGTACACCCAACTCTCACCGGCGTTACGTAGCCGGTCATCAATTCGTCTTCGAATATCTCCTGCGAGAGGTGCCCACAAGCAGTTCCTGGAGATAGGTAGAAAAAACGGCACCAAGAACGGATCGGGGCGTGCCTCATCCGAGGAAATGTCGCGTATATTTCCCTCTAGTCGATGTGAAGAACAATGTTTTCAACACGATTCACAAGCAGGTGACGTTGGCATATTTGCTGATGGCTACAGCACGACCATCGTCTGCATCCAAGTTGTACTCCTCCCGAAGAATTGAACAACGACACCTGTTGATATGTTGATACTACGCAAAAGCCAGGTATTCCCCCAAGATTGTCATATGGAACCCCCTGAACAAGTATCCTTCGGTCAAGCATGCCACGGCCACGTCGGGAGTTCTGAATTAGTTTGCGTATCTGCAAATCGTTGGGGTGGCCTAATGCTGGTGGCAGGCACGGAGAATGGCACCTCACCGGCAGCAAGTTGTACAAGTATCAACAATTGTGACCTAGGTGATTGGCTTACCGGAGCCGCCCTCCACTTCGATAATGTTCGCATCCTTGCCGTCGGAATCTGTCAGCTGTCCGAAAACGGCAGCGGCTGCAGGACAGTACGAGTTGCCATCGACGCCTGAGCTGGCGTGGCGGTTGGAGCACTCACCCCACAGTGTCCTGTTCAAATGAAATACCACACATAAGGTATTTGTCGGAAGGTTCCTTTTGCGCAGCCTATGTTTACCCTGAACATACTCAATTGGAAAGAAGAGCACCCCGGGTGGTCGGGGTTTACAGTGACAACGATATGTAGGCACCTCCCTAAATATTGCCAATCAAGTTGTCCCCCCGGGAGGCTAATTTTCCCGCCCGCCGGAGCCATCGCTCCATGTATGCGTACTACATGCACCTGGCGTGCCTGGCAATACGGCAAGGCTATCTGATAGGGAGATCGAATTGTCTACGCCGTGTCTCCTTGAAAGCAGTAAGTTCGATGGCAAGCCGTGGGTTCATGGGCAAAACGGGTGCCGCAAGAGATTAGCGATTGCTGGGCGACAATATGGTAAATGTAATTCAAGATGGGCGGTTGTGCCTTGTGTTACTTCCGGGAAATCTCTATTGAATAGTCTTTAAATATCGGAGGACGAATTATGTTGGTCAACATACCATTTCAAGTTATGTAACATGATTTTGCGCCCTGGCATAACTTCTCTCTGTGTACTGTGTTGACGTGTGGGAAGGCAGTGTTGACGTGTGAGTGGGAAGTCAGTGTACAACAGTGCTTCGCAGGGTGCAATCAATTCACTGTCGCAGGAGTGAATTGAACTAATGGCAACAAGTATAACATGCCCCATTTCGTGCGCGACAACGCCCTCGAAGGGTCCCTCGTCCACCATCGCCTCCACGTCGGCAGTATCGAACTCCTGAGCAATTGATTGTTGATTGCGATATTTGCCAAATGTAATTGCACGAAGGCTCTGCAGGTAAGCTTGCTGTCGTGACTGGACAGCAGAAAGTCTAGGTACGGATTGTTTGGAAGCACAAATCTGTGCGGGGGGTGAAGGTGATAATGTAACAGGCGCTTCGAATTGGAACGTATGGCGGGAGTGTGCTTGCACAAGATAGTCCAAGATAATCGTGTCCCAGAGAGCGGCACAGCATCCATTCTGTTATTCTATGTACAGAGTCGAGCCGTTTGACACACGGTAGCCCTGAGACCGGTTATTTCAGTAATCTCACAGTGTACGTGAAGAATGCATGGTAAACGTTTCATTCTGGCCGATTTCACTACTAACAGTTTCAACAACAAAACGTGTCACCAGTATGGCGTGGATTCCGTAGTGGTGCATGCCCACATACCATTATCCCGCTGTAGCTGATGCTTGGATATTCCCACCAAGTTCCCGTCGGCCCTGCAGAACCGAGGACCCCACCTTTACCATCCTTAGCGACGATAGTCACCGAGATTAGAAGCCTGCCAGCAGGTGTGCTTGGGGTGCCGCCGCCCGGGGTGTAGAGGATAACCCTCTCCCATCTGTTCGAGGTGTTGGCGTAGATGGTTCATTCAAGGGGATGCAGCGAAGGAGTGAGTGAGAAGGCGACGATTTCATGGAGTACAACAAGTAGGGTACGGTGTGTGCGTGAGGATCATTCCGGCGGGGACGGGCGACAAGAGGATAGTCTACGTTAAACTGTTATTTCAGTGTACCCTTCAGCGCACCTGGAAACAGGCACCCTTTGTTCATCGCAAACTCTCGTCTTCAAGTATCGAGTTCATCACCTGGCCGCTGACCGCTGGAAAATCGCCTTGAGGTCATCAGTGAAGTCCTCTCCTTCGAACTCCAGCTCGATATACCATGGGGGCAAACCTTGCATCGTGAGAATAAACGAATACATATTATTGTCCATTGTATTTCCTGCTCAGAGAAGGGTGCGTCCAATGCTTCGGGATGCATATTGAATAGTAATCAGTCGAGAGCTGGTTGATGCCCAGCCCCAGCCAGCACTATGTTGAAATTCAAAAGCTGCGCGTTTGGAACAGGGCCACCAACATCGGAAACCTCCGTCATCAAGACGAATCTGGAAACCCCCCACCGCGTACGGCCACACAGTGCGTGAGCGCCGACCCGTGTGCTCTCCCCCTGTCTCCTTATATACCATGCCACCCAATAGCCTAAGGGTCAAGGCTATAGACAGGGGCAAGCCTACAGTCAGGGGATCCTCACCATCTGTGTTGATCTGGCAGACCATCCCGGCGAAGCCTTCCGCGCACGAGCAGAAGTATCCCCCGGCCGGATCCGTGGAGCAGGATCCTCCGTTCTGGCACGGATTCCCGCCATCGCAGGAGGACGATGAAGCCGCGACGGGGGTAGGGGGAACGGGAGCCGGCGTAGGGGAAACTACGGTGATAGGGGCCGGGGTAAGGGGAACCGGGGGGGTAGTTGGCGCAGGAACCGGGGCGTTCGTCGATGGCAGAGTCGGCGATGACGTCGGTGCGGCGGGGGTAAGGGGGGCCGCAGTCGGGGCAACCGTCAAAGGAGCTGGGGTAAGGGGGGCCGGGGTTGAAGTTGGCGCAGGAACCGGGGCTCTTGTCAACGGCAGAGTCGGCGATGACGTCGGTACGGTGGGGGTAATGGGGATCGCCGTCGGGGCAACGGTCAAAGGAGCTGGGGTAAGGGGGGCCAGGGTTGACGTTGGCTTAGGAACCGGGGCTTTTGTCGACGGCAGGGTCGGCGATGACGTCGGTGCGGCGGGAGTGAGGGGGGGCGCTGTCGGGGCGACGGTCAAAGGAGCTGGGGTAAGGGGGGCCGGAGTTGAAGCTGGCGTAGTAACCGGGGCTCTTGTCAACGGCAGGGTCGGCGATGACGTCGGTGCGGCGGGGGTCAGGGGATCGCCGTCGGGGCAACGGTCAAAGGAGCTGGGGTAAGGGGGGCCGAGGTTGAAGCTGGCGTAGGAACCGGGGCTTTCGTCGACGGCAGGGTCGGCGATGACGTCGGAGCGGCGGGGGTGAGGGGAGCCGCTGTCGGGGCATCGGGGCTGAAAGGAGCTGGGGTAAGGGGGGCCGGAGTTGAAGCTGGTGTAGGAACCGGGGCTTTTGTCGACGGCAGGGTCGGCGATGACGTCGGTGTGGTGGGAGTGAGGGAGGCCGCGGTCGGGGCGACGGTCAAAGGAGCTGGGGTAAGGGGGGCCGAGGTTGAAGCTGGTGTAGGAACCGGGGCTTTTGTCAACGGTAGGGTCGGCGATGACGTCGGTGCGGCGGGGGTCAGGGGGATCGCCGTCGGGGCAACGGTCAAAGGAGCTTGGGTAAGGGGGGCCGAGGTTGAAGCTGGCGAAGGAACCGGGGCTTTCGTCGACGGCAGGGTCGGCGATGACGTCGGTGCGGCGGGAGTGAGGGGGGGCGCTGTCGGGGCGACGGTCAAAGGAGCTGGGGTAAGGGGGGCCGAGGTTGAAGCTGGTGTAGGAACCGGGGCTTTTGTCAACGGTAGGGTCGGCGATGACGTCGGTGCGGCGGGGGTCAGGGGGATCGCCGTCGGGGCAACGGTAAAAGGAGCTGGGGTAAGGGGGGCCGAGGTTGACGCTGGCGTAGGAACCGGGGCTTTCGTCGACGGCAGAGTCGGCGATGACGTCGGAGCGGCGGGAGTGAGGGGAGCCGCCGTCGGGGCATCGGGGCTGAAAGGAGTCGGGCTATGGGTGGCCACTGACGTATCTTCTGCACTACCTGTCGTTGATTTCTTCGGCTTTGTTGACGGTCGTGCCGGGGGCGGTGGAGTGACAGGAGCCACAGTAGGGGTGCTGCCGATGGCGGAGAAACGGGCATGGCTGTAGACGTTTCTTCGTCCGCCGTTACGGGTGCAGGAGTTGGAGTGGATGTCGGTGCTGTTGGGCCGCCAAGGGGAAATGAACAACGAGGGAAAGGGGTGTTGCGAGCTATTGTGACGGTCATTTTGGACCGAATGCGGGTATCAGCTCTTAAACGGGGAACAATACATTCCTGCAATGGAACCAACTATGTACGCGTGGGTGGGGTGAGACCTCAAGTTGCTGTTAAGAATCGTCCGAATTGTACCTGGGGACAAGTCTGTTTTCACACGTCCAAGAAATAAACTGAGCAACCATTGGGCAGACCGCACCGTAACTCACCGACGGCGATCAGGGAGCAGGGTCCCTCTCCGCATGGGATTCCATTCTCTAGGATTGTATTCTGGCAGCAGTCAGAGGCGCCCAGCATGAACTCCACCGCGAAGGTGGAACACCCGGGCCCCCCACACTGGCCACAACTGCACAACGGAAGCATTCACCCCCAAAATATAGGTAAGGTTAGTTGCCGGGGAAAGGACACATGCCCACAGCGTGTCACGGCGCAACCACCAGCCTATACTCCACCAGAGTGATGTAGAGCATAATATCCTGGTGCACCGGCGAGTTAGAGCCTTGTAGAGTACTGCCTCGAAGCACTTGGTACGGGCTATTTGGTATCTAGGGCACAGAAAGACGGGCGGCTGAGAAATATTTCCAACAATGGCTTCACCGCACTTGATGGGGCAGCAGGCGCCGTTTGACTCGATCCCGGGGGTGCCGTTGCTGCACGTGTGAACAACCGGGGATCTCGTGGGGTACGCTGCGGGGGTTTGACTCGGCGGTGCATCGTGGGTGATCGGGGATGGGATCGGTGTCGGCTTTGATGCCGACGACGACGAGCGCGATGTCTTATCGCAACGATGGCGCGACCGCAGCCGTCTCGTTCGTCGCGCAGCAGTCTCGCTGATGGGGTCGCCGTGCAAATTGAGACCCTCCTCGTTCCGCGAAGGCTGCGAAATCTTCGAGGACACCATCTGGACAAATTCGGGACGGAATTAGGGTAGAGTTGAGTGAGTCAGGTGAATCGCTTCCAATGGTTGCCGGTCGCAGGCGAGCTACGGGGTACCGTGGAAGGTCGAGTTTGTGATGACGGAACACGGCCACCGTGCACGACATATGCCACGACAGACAAATGTAGGGTAGGGGTAACAGTTTAATGTTTCCCGCCACCCTGCCCATCGTACTATTCTTCACCCTCAACACCGCAGTTTCGTAAGTGCCACGTGCTGCTCCTCCAGTGCCAGAGATCGCCTTTTCGACAGGAAATTCTGCTCTCTACGGAAGGCCATCCTGGGAATGAATTTTTGTTGTCGCGTTGTGGTTGGGCTTTCGATACGTATGTCGTAGTTGTTCTGTGCCACATGCATTGTACAACAACGGTGTTCCTTGCTGAATTTTTTACTTCGTAGGTTGTATTCACAGAAATCCATTCTTCGCCTTGAATGCTACTGCCGAACCATTTTAGTCCACTGGCACGTGACAAGAAGGTGCAACATCCCAGCTCCATCGGTTCCCGGTTGGCGTAACGCAGACCATTGGGACGTCGAAGACTACTGTTGGTATTCATGTCCTGTTCACCGAAATCAATTCTCGTTTCCGGGTTATGATCCGCTGTGGTTTCCTTTGGAAGGTCGATTCCTATCGAACAACACCAGGATTACAGAAAAAATAGGCGATACAGTATACGGGTCACTGTTTCGGACGGACCACAGTTCGGTGTACCGTAGTTTCGCGGCAGATTTTCAGCAGCCCCACCACACGCCTGCTTCACACGTGAAGAGGTTTGGTCTTGCTGTAGATATCGGAACGCCCGTCTATGTTGTAATACGGTATGTCTATGATGCATCTGCTTCTATTGTTTGCATAGTCACGATCTGACTCCCCGTTCCTGGGTTGGATGGCCATGAAGAATCCCAGTTTGTGTCTCAACTCTGGTTTGCTTCAGGAAGAATGCTCTCTGAACAACACACTCCAAGGACATCAGAACAACCAACAACAGGCGATATTCGGATTACTCTTGGTGCGGGTCAGATTTTCAGCAGCACCAATACACGCCTGCTGCACAATTCAGGGTTTGGGATGCTCCTGTACACGATCGTCCGCAAGTGTAGGGTCTGTCGATACGCATCCATGTGGTGGCGAAATACCCAAATAGACTTAAGAATCAGATGCATTTTTACACGGATATCCTCTCACTGGTGCCAGATGCTATGACTGACTGTTTTGAGTCAGCAGAACCAACGCATCGATGCGAAGCAAGCAGCTCGATCTACGGTACTGGACTATATGAAGGATCTTTCCAGTGCTCAACTGCGCGACGCGCTACCTTTCCTCCTTGGTTGCAATGAAAACACAGGCCCGACCTTGGGAGATATGCGATAACCAATATTTAGTCGATCATTTCATGTTTCTCCTCTTCTCACATAGTTGACCCTCGGGACGACAGACGTCCTCCCGAGTACAGCTTCGTGGTGCATCGGTGACCCATCGGTGAAGCCCACGGCGTACGTCACCATGGCCAGAACAAAAGCTCTGTGACCCGACATCCCTGGCGCTAGAGAGACGATACAGACAAGCGGGACACACCACCAGTGGCATGGAGGGGAGAGAAGGGAAGAAAGTGGCACGGTAACATCCCACTTGGCTGTCTATATAGATCACTTAGCCGGCCTGGACACTTGGGAATTAAATTCATTTTACTTGGCGGTCAACCAGATGGACGTTGAGCCCTTCGTCAGCAGTTGACCGCGCGGGAGATGAAGGTGTCGTAGAGCACTTCGTGCTGCCAGGTGGCGTGTGGTGCGAATGCGTACAAGACGGGCATCGTTCGCCGAAAAAAAGATTAAATGAACACCTGCAAGAATCAATCAATGTAGTAAAATAATAAATAGTCTATATTTCTGTTCTTATTTACGCTCTGTGGGAGTTTTTCTCTTCCGCCCGGATTGAGTAATTCAGCACGTTCCCTTAATCCCGGCCGGGTGGATGGGTTGGTGGCACGAACGAACATGGTCGTGTGTGTGGAGCTTGCCCAGTGTAGCACACCATTTGCACGTGCGCAAGTCCCTCGCTCATCTCTCTCGTGTCCTCGGCTCTTGTTGATGGCTCTCGTGCGTTTGATACACTCGAATTATGTTCTGAGTTATACATCACTTCAAAAGACAAGCGAACGTGCGAGCGCCTTTGGATACGGCGTGTTTTCGGCGCGGGTTCTTGTTCATTTCTTTAGGTTAGGGAGCCTGCGCCTCGGCTGCCGTGGCCTTGCTCTCCGTCGGACACTGCTGCTGCTGCGTTGACACCTTGACTCGGTACCTCACACGGCGGGCCTTCCAATAGTGTGTTCGTCGCTCATCAGGTACAGTAGCAGGCAACTCACATCGTGCGTCCGCGATCCGCTTCGGGCTTCATTATATCTACCAGAGGCGTGAAAAAAAACTGTTGTACGTTTATTGACCATGTAGATCTGACTATCAAGTAAGTAAGTAAAACTACTGCCTTCGTAAAATAACAAGCTCTGCGAATAACGGCAGGCCCTCACATATTGGATTAGACCACAAACAACGATCCTCTCATTCTCTACCTTGGGGAAACGAGGCAACAGAGAGAAGAACAGCCAACGACTCCATCCCTCACGTGCGAGCGGGTGGGGACGACGATCATGATTTACCACAAACATGCTTCTCTTGTTCAAGTCATCCGATCAATGTAGAGTATGAACTGGATGAGAAATTATCATGCGCCCTAACGAACGCGTTTGAACTCAATGCCTTAACTCCAACGCGGAACCCATTTACATCCGTTCCCAGAGCTTTGCGACCACCCTGTGCCTCCAAAGCGGCCCCCATTCTCTAACAACAGCGAATCCGAGATCCCAACTTAACCTCTCTCTTTCGGCAGCCGTACCGCTTGATAACAAGCATGGCCTGGTCCTCGTTCTCCTGGCAAAATGTAGCAGTTCCCCCAGGAAAGGAGAACACGAAAATAAGGTCCGCAGTCCATCACCAAAGCCCCGTGGTGCCAACCCTGCCGCCACCGATAAACTTGAAAAAGTTATCTCAACTCTCTACGTCCTCCCTGTACATTTTCGGCGAAACCGGGGTAACCATGCCGCTTCTGGCTCGTCAGATGTGCCCATCTTGAACGAAGTCCGTACCCAAGGGCCTCTCAACGCGGTCTGCCAAGCCGGGATTCAAAGGCACAAGAGGCGCGGCGAATACTGATTTGACGAATCGTGAGGATGGTGGGGGAAATTCTCGACACGGGAAATTTGCCTTTTCACCGAAGAGGACAAAATGACCAGAGACCGTACCTCCGCAACCCGACTCTTCATGACTCGAACGACTACGAGGGTAAATGTCAATGGGGGTTGGTTGAGGTGCGCAGTGCTTCGGACGTATCACGGGTAGTGATTCTATACGAACAGACCTACGAGGTTAATAAGGTTCCAGGTAGAAACAACTTGGACTTCAAATTCCCAACTGTCATTCATTGCCGTCTTAAATATCACATGTGCCTGTTCGCTCGGATGTCAGTGAATAACCGTAGAAGATGCGGGTGTTTAATCATCCTGCCCGACAGTCCATGTCGAGTGCATGTCGTAGGGGCCTCATGTCTTGGAAGAGCAAGCATCGGTAGTTGGACGGTGCCCACGACAGCAGGGCCACACAATATGTACCCAGCAGAGCTCTGGAGTGTCGTACAATGTTCCTGCTGTCCTCGGATCGCCTCTATTCCGGCCATGATCGGCTCACCGTTGGCATCACGTGTCGGAAATAACGTCTCGACAAGACTACCTTTGGCATCGCAGTTGACCTGTGGGTGGAAATTCGCCGGACGGCGGGGGAGCAGTGTATTGATGCTTTTTACAGCCTACACGTTTTCTTTCATCCCCAGACAACGCTTCAGTCATCCACAAGCTAACTATTGTTGCCGGTTGAGTGGATGTCAGATGGTACTGACTGATTGTTCCCGATGACTCTTACCTCATTTTGGTCAACGGTCATGTTCATCTGCCAGGTCAGGTGATTGGGGAGATCGTACATATCCGTAGGGTCACGCATGGCGATCTGGTGAAGCCTGCCGTTGCTTAGAAACACCATAACCTTAGGAGTCACTATCTGAAAGGAGGCATGCTCGGACTGGTGAGTAAATACCCCACCTTCTTCAACCTCGGCACGAGCCACGCACTCGATGCACTCGTCCGTGTTAGTGGCGATGGGGTCCTTGAGAAAAACACGTGAGCACACGGGAGAAAGACGAAAAAATCGGCATGATGGGACCAACCATGAACTTCATCTAGGGGTACAGAAGCCTATGT